CACCTCCTGCCACTCCCAGATTTTTTTTTTTTCCTTTTTTAAAATTTATATTTTTCTTCATAGCCTCTGTCATGATAGGATATGAACATTTATAATTATTTACATGTTCATCTCCATTATTAAAATATAAATTCTATAAAGTAGGGATATGGTATTTTTCATCACTATATCCCCAATTCCTAGAACAGTTGGTGGTTAATAGATATTTGTCAAGGAATGTGTGTATGCCGGTGGTGATGTATGGGGGAGAATTTGGGGGTATAGTTTGTCTTGGTCTCTTGAAAGTCCAGGTTCATTGGCTAGCATTCAGTGATCATTTAGTAATGGCCTTCATGTAGATAGGAAAAGGGAGATTCATGAAATGTGTCACCTATGTGCCATTCCTAGATGAGATCTACTAGGCAAAAATTGAGTTGGATTATTCCTGCACTTCAGTTTCCTAAGCCTTATGAGTATGGTAATATTTAGCCTACGAATGTTCTTAGGGTTAATGAGATAGTGCATGAGTTGTGTTGTCACAGAGCATAGGACATAGTAATTGCTTAAGAAATACTAGCTATCACTGTGTTATTCCCAGTCATCAACTTATCTAGCTATTGGTTGTTCTGACAAAAAGATACTTCAAGTATACTAAAGTAGGACCTCTGCAGAATAGTATCAGTTTGCTCACTGACTGACTGACTTTTTTTTTTAGCCAACTTGGCAAAATTGTGTTTGGGATACATATTACTTCCTAGAGTTGCCGTTACAAATTACCACAAACTTGGGGCCAATTTAGACATACTCCAGAGTTCCACTTTCCAGTGAGGTTGTTAGTAGCTACACATGTCTATTTAAATTAATTAAAGTTAAAATTTAGTTCCTCAGTCACAGTAGCCACATTTCAAATACCCAGTAAGTGTGGCTACCATATTGGACAACACACAGCATATACCGTAATCATTTCCATCACCGCAGAAAATGCTTTTTGATAGCACTGCTCTAAACAATAGGGAATTTCTGAATAGTACTTTTATTTGCTTCAAATGACTTTCTATAGGTTTGTTTCTTCAATATGTGTTTAGTTATAAATGTGGAGTGGTTCATAATAGCTGAATAAAATATTTTGTATGGATTTCTTTTAAAAGTTCTACAGCAGAATGACTCATTAATATTATTCATGAATTGTTTATTCACCAACTCCCTTTTTCATTGTGGAGAACATATGGAGTCAGTAATAGAACATACTGCATGTCTTTTCCCCCTTCTATATTTATAACTAAGTGCCTGGAGGACACAAGATACTGTTTTATTTATTTTATTTGAATTATATGCCAGAGACTAAGCTCTTGTGTATTGAAGGCTTCAATTTATAGTATTAATTAAGAACAGCTTTTCTTTTATTCCCAGAAAGAATTCAATGTATCCTTCTTTACTGTATGCGAATCTGGAGTTTGTTCTTTCTTTCAGATTGTTTTATCTTCTCTACTTGTCTCTCATCCCATGCTTTTTATTTTGTTTCCTAACTTCTCCCTCTTCCATTTAACTCCCACTCTTCTCTGTCTTTTCTGTCTCACCTTTCCCCCCCACTCCCTATCGTCCACTCCTCCAATTTCATCCTTACAAAAAATGGAAATAACACAATATTTTCAGAAAATGCTTATTTGTAATCAAATTCTTTAAAATGTTTTTCTTCAACTTTCGTAGACCCTTATTTTTAAAGTTTTGGAGCTTCCTCATATTACCACTGATTAAATAATCATGTGTGGCCAGTATTTATTTTTCTGCCACGAGGCAAATGTAATCAATTACTTTTACTGTAAATCAGAGGTTATATTTTGAGCTATATACATTGTGCAAATTCTATAAGACCATCAGAGTAAAAGAAAATCTCTGTTAGACATGCACATGTATTTCACTTAAAAACTTTTTTATTTTGATGTAATTTTATATTCATAGAAAAGCTGCAAAAATAATTACCATAAACTCATTACCCAGATTTTCCAAATGTTAATTTTTAACAAATTTGGTAATTCTCTTTTTATAAATACACATGTTTTTTCCTGATTATTATTTTTTTCTTTTTTTATCCTCACCCGAGGGGTACATGCTTAGAGAGAGAGAGATGGGAGGGAGAAAAAGGGAGGGAGAGACCATATTGATATCTTGCAATTGTCCCAATAATGTCCTTAATAGGATAGGAATCCAGATCCAAAGCTGCATTCAGCTGTCAGGTCTATTTAGTCTTCTTTGATGTGGAACATTTTCTTAGTTTTTCATTGAGTTTCATGACCTTTACATTACATTTGACTACCTTCAACACTTCTTTGGTAATAAGAGCTTTTTATTTTTTTGGTAATATAATTTACAAACAATACAATTTTACCATTTCAATTGCTTAATTCGGTGGTTTTTTTTTTTTTTTTTAATTCAGTCACAGAGTTATGTGACTATTACCACCATAAACTTTAGAATATCTTCCATCACTCCAAAGGAAACTCTATACTCCTTAGCAGTTTCTTCAATTTCTTTAACTACCTATCTATAGGCAAGTACTAATCTACTTTGTAATGCTTTCAGTGGTTCCAGGTAGACACATCTCCAATAAAGTAGGTTTGTTTAGGACTAAAGATTCTTCTACATTCTCTAACATTTACTTTGCCTTTGTCAGTTTCCCAACAGTTATTGCTTCTGCTTAACTAATAGTAGGATAAGTGGCTAGAGGCAGAGCTGGATTTGAGTGTGTTCTCACAAGACTTTCCTTATCTCCTAGAATACACTTTAGGTAAAGGAATATTTTAAAGACATTTGCCATTGCATTTTTTGTAAAGTTTTTTCTTAAAGATTATTTTTTTGGTCTCAGTCGAGGTCTTTGCAACATTGTTGTATAGTGAAGATTAGAAATAACATAAAGGCCAATTAACAGGACTGGATTAATGTTTGTTATGGTATATATGAGAGGCTCAGTGCACAAAATTTGTGCACATGACGGTTCCCTAGTGGCTGCCGAGTGCTTCCCTTCCCCCAGCTACTTACTGCCACTGCTGCCACTACCGGCTGGGGTGGGGGACCCCTCCTTTCCCCACCTGCTGCTGCCATCAATGCCCCCTTTTTTGAACTGCCGGTCAAGGGGACAATTTGCATGTTAGGCTTTTATTATATAAGATATACATGAAATATTGGGCAGCTCGTAAAATAAATGAAGTAGGCCTATAAACTGGTGATGTATAGAAAACAAATCAAGGACAGGTCTATTTTATATGTCATCTATCTATGTCTCATAACAACAACAACAACAACAAAAAAAGCAAAAGAAAAAAATTATAGAATATAACTATACTAGAAGCCCAATGCATGAAATTCATGAAAGAGTAGTCCTTTCTTCCCCCAGCTGCAGGAACCATCTTCCCTTTAGCACACAGGACCCGGGCTTCCCTCTGGCTGCTGGCAGGCACCTGTGACCTGGGCTTCCCTCACAGACCCAGCTTCATCTGGAAGGTGCTTGGAAGGACATCCAGTCTAATTAGCATATTATGCTTTTACCATACTATTATAGATAAGACCCCTTTAAGCATGATTTTGCTTTCTGCAGTTTCAGTTACTTGTAGTTAAACACACTATTAAATAGAAATTTCCAGAAATAAACAACTCTTAACTTTTAAATTGTGTGGTGCTTAAATAAATCTAATGCTGTCCTGCACTATTCTACTCTGTGCCCTCTGGGATGTGAATCATCCCTTCGTCCATAGTATTATGCTGTATATGCCACCCACCCTCTAGTCACTTATTATTGGTTACTGTTGTTAATCTCTTATTTTGCCTAATTTATAACTTAAACTTTATTATAGGTGTATGTGTATAGGAAAAGACATCATATATGGGATTTGTTACTATCTTTGATTTTAGGTACCCATTGGGGGTGGTCTCGGAACATATATCTCATGGATAAAGGGGGGCTACTCTATAAAGTGTGAGGCAAATGTAGGACAAATCAAGGACAGGTCTTCATATGGAAAGTAATACAATACTAAATAAATAGTAATACAGTAATTAACTCTTTCATCTGCCCTGCATATAAATGTTTAGTACTAGGAAATGTCTTGGTATCTACTCATCAGATAATTATGAGTAATTATCTGAGGACTGGAAATGGAACATGGAGGATGTTATGGGTTACTTTATTTCTGCTTTATATTTTTGTTTTGTTTGAATTTGCTCTGTGAACAAATTTCTTTTGTAATCAAACAATGAACTGGATATCAACTTACAATCTAAGTTAACTTTCTCTATTCCTTTAGCTTCTTGGACTACAATCTTTGCTTTTTCCACTTTCCATCGAAACTCCAACCACTCTAACTCAGTCTCCCCAGTGGGCCTCTTCTAATCTAACCCTACTTATCCTCAAGAAGCATTCCTGGGTCACTCAATCAGATTTTATTACCTTTCCTCTGTGATCTCCTGATGCCCTGGGAAATCTTTCTTAGTCACTCATGTCTAGGGCAGGAGCTGTTAATATTTGACTTTGTAGTCCATGGGCTTGAGCACAGTACCCAGCACAGGGTAGAAATTCATTAAAAGGGGTTTCAGTGTTAAAGTAATAAAACAGAGTATTTGGGGTCGATCTCCTTAATATCAGCCTGTCCTTTAGTGTGGGTTTTCATTTGTTGTCCTTTTTTTTGAAGCTCTGTGTGAAGAGACATGTTTTAATTAAACTTTAGTTGATATCTCAGGACTTTTGAGTTTATATTGATAAGTTCTTTTAACAACTCCAGGAGATTTATTTAAATGTAGTATGATTTCTTTAATTGTCATTAGAGGACAGGAGAGTGATAATTTCATATTTCATTGTAACAAAATGTCAATATAGAATATTTCAAAAAATATTGTCAAATACATTAATTAAAGAAAACCTGCATTTGTGGGTTTAGAAAGTGTGTAACATTGATTCAAGCAGAAGGATAAACAAATTAATATTTCTTCTTTGGGTAACCAGCTTGTCTAACAGTTTGTTTTCTTTCCAGGTTCAACAGATAGATCGTGTAGTAGAAGTTGTGGAGGAAACAATTAAAGGTAATTCTTGAAAGAAAGATAAGCAGGGGCATACCTTGTATACAATATAAAACTGCCTGACGGAGGTAAACCTGGAGGGGGTACAGAGACGGTGGACAGAACAGAGTAGCCCCGTCCCTCTCAGCTTGTTCTAAGAAGGAGGGCCTTTCACCACCTTCCATGGTTTCCATCTTCTTTGCCATTCTTTATTTTTTACTATTTTCTTCTTAGACATATAAAAAGGGGTCATCCACCATAACAGTCTCCTATTCCTTTATCTCGGTGTTGCAATGATGTTTGAGGCTTTAAAGTATCTGAGGTATATATTTATAAAAATACTACTTAGTTCTAACATTTATTGAGCATCTTTGTGAAAATTTTTGTTTTTGATTAAAATTTTGTCCCCGGCTGCTTCATGCATTGATTGATCCCATATAAGAAATATATATTTGATTAGCTTATAAGGGAGTTAGTTCCTAGTTCTTTTATTTTCTTTATTTTTATTTTTAATTGAATTTATTGGGGTAACATTGGTTAATTAAATTATATAATTTTCAAGCCTATAATACACATCATCTGTATATCATATTGTATGTTCACCATGCCAAGCCAAATCTCCTTATATCTCTGTTTATCTCCCCTTTATCCTTTTCTATCCTTCCAACCCCCTTTTCCTCTGGTAATCACCATACTGTTCTCTGTATCTGTGTGCTGGGTTTTTTTTTGTTTTTTTTTGTTTGTTTGTTTGTTTGTTTGTTTGTTTGTTTTTCTTAATCTCTTAACCCTTTTCACCCAGCACCCTTTACTACTCCTCTCTGGTAGCTGTCAGCCTGTTCTCTGCCTATGGGTCTGTTTTTCTTTCGTTTGTTAGTTTATAAGTGACATCATGTATATTTGCCTTTTCTCTGGCTGGATTATTTCACTGAGTATAATAATCTCCGGCTCCATCCATGCTTTCACAAAGGGTCAGATTTTCTTCTTTTTGATGGTAGAGTAGTACAACAGCTTTTTTATTCAGTCATCTACTTATGGGAACTTGGGCTACTTTTAAATCTTGGCCATTGTAAATAATACTACAACATAGGGGAGCATATATTCCTTCAAATTAGTGTTTTGGCTTTCTAAAGTATAATTTTTGTAGTTTCACTGGAAAATAATCATTCTTTGCTTATTTCATCAATGTTCTTTGAAACAGTTTTTTTTTTTTTTTTGTCACTGACAAGTAAGCCATTTTTAATTCTGTGGTTTAATTCATAAATATTTGTAGCTTCTTTTTCCTCGGTTAGATTAGCACAAATGAAACTGGTAATAGGATATTGAAATATTAAGTTAAATGAATGGAAGTTCTCACTTAAATTATTACTGTGTTTCTTGTAATGAGAAATTTACTTACAAACAACAACCAAATACATTGCTTCCTTCAAATTGAAATTTTTCAAAACCACATTTTTTTCTGCTGCATTTATCTGCTATCTTCCACATGCTATGATTAATGCTTATTAATTTTGAATCTTTGATTTATTAAGAGATTGATAACCACAGAAGATGAGAATGACACTGCACCTTAATCTTTTCTTGAAATTCCAAAATAAAATGAAATGTCATGACTATAGCTTTTTAGCAGTGATAATTTGAATGTTTTCTTTAAACTATACCTCACTCTTTCTTGGAGAATTCAGAAGAACTACCATTTATTGAGCACTTAGAGTGTCACAAGCCCTGTGCTAAGCACTTAACATGCATTAAGTCATTTAATCTTCACGAAGTCCTGTGAAGTGAGGTGGGTATAAATATCATTCTCATTTTTCAGATGAAGAATGTGAGACACAGGCTCCATGGCTGGTAAGTGGCAGAATTAGGATTTGAATCAGTTCTGGCTGTATGGTGCTGTGACGTCTCTGCTCTCTCCCAGCTGAGAGTCACTGCTTTATGCTTGATCGGCTTGTTAAAGGAGGGCTTCAGGGTATTTGAACATATTGTTGCCTTATTTATCCTCCGTTTGAGTACCAGGCACACACTGTCCACTCAATAATTTGTTTAAAGGAGTTAATGGTAATGAAGGTAACACAGAAGAAAATTTAGGCAGCGACTTTTTAGGTCCAACACTCAAGGCATGATTCATGAAAGAAATAATTGATAAGCTAGACTTCATTAAAATTAAAAACTGTGTTGCAAAAGACACTATTAAGAGAGTGAGAAGACAAGACACAGACTGTGAGAAATATATTTGGAAAGACATCTCTGATAAAGTATTCTTACCCAAAATATTCAAGAACTCTTAACGTTCAATAACAAAATAGGCAGTCTGATTTTTAAAATGGGCCAACAACCTGAATAGAAACTTCACAAAAATACATATACAAATGGTGAATAAGCATATGAATTGATGATAAATATATGTTATTAGTCGGTTGGAAATTGAAACAACAATGAGCTACCACTGCTCTGGATGGCCAAAATCTGAAACACTGACAACACCAGATGCTGAAGGGAATGCTGAAGGGACTCTCATTCATTGCTGTTAGGAATACAAAACATTTGGTAGTTTCTGACAACACTAAACATATTCTTTCCATATGATCCAGCAGTAATACTCCTTGGTATTTAGCCAAAGAAGTTGAAAACGTATGTCCACACAAAAACCTGCACACAGATGTGGCTGAAAGTTCCAAACTCCTAACATATGATTGGCTCCTACGGTCACCACACCCATCCTCCAAGAATGTCCTCATTAGCTTATGCACAGATATGGTTGGCATAAACTTACTAGCATAAATTCAGAAAGGGGCTTATTCTGAATAACAAAAAATGCTCTAGTCGCTCCTGTCACTCAGGAAATTATGAGATTTAGGAACTCTATCTTGGGAGAAGGCCATACATATATTATGCTATTACAATATCTCAGGAAGCTTCTGATCTCCATGGTTGGTTTAATTAGGATGGCTTCTCACTGAGGAGTTTGGGCTTGAGTGGGTTTATTGGAGAGATTGCATTTGGATTTAAATGTAAGAATCAATAGCAAGAGTTGAATTGAAGATGAAATTGATGGGGATGTTCCTTGGCAGGTTTGGTTTGAGGGCAGGAAAGCTGATGAATTAAGTCTTAATAATGCAACAAAAGAATTTGAGATGGAAGAGATAATTTTATAGGTGTCTTTCGTTTACAGATGAGGAAGCTGAGGTAGGCAGAGATTAGATAACTCTTCTGAGATTTACTGGTTAATGGAGAATGAGGTCTCTCTGTGAACTTCTGTTCTTTACTTTCTATTGCTGTTGCCAGTACTTCATGTAGACAGCACAAATTAGTGATATAATGTTGCCTTTAGCATTTAGCCAGTTGTTTGTGTCTGTCAGCATGTTATTTTTCTGAGGCTCAATTTTCTGTTTAAAATGGAGAGGATTTAATGGGTAATACTTTTGAGTTACCCAGAACACAACTCATATTAATGTTTATTTCTTACTCTCTCCTTAATACCTAGACTGCTGGAATAACTTGATTGACCTCTGCTACCAATGACTCTGTTTTCAATCTGACTGTATAGTCTATTATCCTCAAATTATTTACTCTCCTTCATCTGTGTCTTTAGTGTTGCCTGTTACCCACTAAATCATGGGGAACTTCTTAGTGTGATTTAATGATTTTCTACCCCATTCTGCCATCTTCACCGTCCCTCCCACCAATTAATTTTATACTGATACCTTTTGTTCTGATCGACTATTTATTTGTTGTCCTTTCTCTGTTTTTTTTTGCAGTTTGCTTCATATTCACCTTAGGGTCCTGGGTATGCTCTATTTGCCCCTCCAGATTAATTCCCCATCCTTCTCCACCAGTTGCTTTTCCCTGGAGGCTGATCTGTGTGGCTACATCAGTAGATCCTTGCTGTCTGGCTTCTAGATGGATTTAGCCCATTGGAGGTTGGAATTGTGATTAGCACAGGAGATAGGAATATGTCTTACCTGCTCTCCCCTCCCTCCTGCTCATTCTCTATTGGTTGCTTCTCTCACCTGAAGGCCACAGCCTCTGTCAGGTGGCTCCCTCTATTCAACTATTTACCAGGTTCCTGTAACTATTTCCTTCCTTTGATTTTGCAGGCCCAGGAGTAGAAACAACTCCCCATTGTTGCTCACCTTAGAGTATCACATTGTCTCTTGTTGGTTTTGCTAACCTTGCCAAACTTTAGTCAGTAGTCCCTTTATTAAAATCTCTTCAATTATGCAGTGTGCCATCTGCTTTGCTGGGACCCTGATTGATAAATGCTCCATGGAGAAGCAAGATTCTGCCCAGAAGGGCCAGATGGAATACAGCCTGACAAGAGGATTTTGCCATAACTCTCTTGTTTCCACATTTGATTCCTGTTGGGCTCTTTTCATATTTTTTCCTTGAAGGGAGTTTGGACAGGCAGCCTCTGCCACAGCCTGTTTGCATTCTTTTTATCCCTATCCTTATGCTATACCAAGTAATGTTTTTAAAAATGTATTAATAAGATACACTGATGCTGAAAGCATTTAAATCTTATAATTAACATAAAACTGTGCAAAGCATATTCCATTTGCATCTGTTTTAGTTGGAACAAAATGGAAAATTTCAAGTTATATTAAATGAAACCTCATTATTTTAATAGTGGCCTGAAAATTTTATTTTGTAGCATTTTTGCTTTGGGAGAGACCAGATTATATGGATTCAAGATTCTCTCTGTAACATCTTGAAAATGCAAGAAAATATGTAACTAAATCTAAGGAAATAAATACAATGTTTAAAGGATTTAAATTCATTTCTTTTGAAAATACTCATATGGACCTTATTCTCCATTTATAAGGTCATTAATACTTTTCTGTATGAAAGCTCTGATGGGAATATAAATCTGCACTTCTGATATGCAAAACAAGAAAAAAACTTAAATCCTTTGTAAAAGGTAGTCTAACTGTATAACTTAAGACAAATGAATGCAAGTAAATATTGCCTATTGAAATTAGAAAAATGTTTTTACTAGTAAGTCATATTTCTTCTCTAGTCAATCTCTA